TCTAATTAAACTAGAAAAATGTATATTTTACCTGACAACTTAATATTGGGACAATGCAAAGTAACTTCCATAAAAATGGAACAAATTAAGATAAGTAAACTGTGGAAATAACGTAAAATGAAATGTTAAATTGCCGGTTTGTTCTAAAGCTTGTAACATTGTTGCTGTTGAGTAAATCTGTATTTATCAATTAAAATAGTGATTAAAAATTATTGTCACAATAAAACAATACGTGAAAAAGCAGACGAACTTAATATTCCTAAAAGCATAGCGTTGAAAGTAATTAAACATTATGGAGAAAAACTGGGCAAATTTTAGAAAAAAAGGGAAAAGTTCAAGTCGTCCAAAGTTAGTTTCTGATAGAAATAAAAGAATACTTGTACAAATCAACAAAAAAAGACGAAGAAATATTTTAAGACAAGTTACCGCTGAATGGAATAATAAAACTGGATTAAATATATCAAGGGAATGGTGTCGCAAATGGATTCTTAAAAGTGGATTAAAGTTTTACGAGGTTTTCTTACAAGCAATAATTAAAAAATGTCGCTTTTAGAAAATTGTTGTTTTATAAGCAAAAGAAAAACAACAGAAAGCCAGGCTCACATGAGCAAAATCTAAACTGTCTTGGTCAGCAGAAGACTTTTCCAGGATAATATTCAGCGATGAATCGAAATTTGCAATAAACATAAGGCATTTCATAAAGATTGTTCAAAACGTTGTGTAAAATTTCCGAAGGGAGTAATCATTTGGGGCTGTATGACAGCTTCAGGATAAGGATGCTTTGAATTTATTGATGGCACCGTGAACGCCGCAAAATATCAACAAATACTACAAAACAGCATACTACCAAGTATCGTGCAGTTAAATGTTGGCGAAAATTACATATTTCAGCAGGATGGAGCGGCTTGTCATACGGCCAAAACTACAAAAAAGTGGTTGGCGATCAAAATATTAATGTTCTGTATTGGTCTACCAACAGTCCAGATCTGAATGTAATTGAAACAGTGTGGCACAAAATGAAACAAACTTTGAGGAACAACCCACAACGCACATTGCCAGAACTTAAAGCCAAAATAAAGCAAATTTGGGATGGATTTACTCCTGAACAGTGTAGAACCTTAGTGAATTCAATGACCAACCGAATTCGAGCGGTTATAAAATCTAAGGACAATGTCCCAATATTTAGTTGTCAGGCAAAATTTACATTTTTCTAGTTTAATTAGAAGTAATAAGATACGTATTTTGTTTTTGTGTTGTTCATTAGATAAAATTGTTGTTAATTGTCTAATTAAATGATATTAATTTGAAAAATGTATTAAAACAAAATAATCTGTTTAATTGTTGTTAATTACATATAAATTCTATTATGTCCCAATATATAGTTGTTAGTGCTCGTAGTAAATAATAAACCGACGTGATATTAGCTCAAAATAAACTCCAATAAAATGGCGATTCACAAGGCCCGATTTTGTCCAGACGGGCTCACTGTCATTTCTGGTTATTCTGTGGTCTAGCGTCGACCCACTTGTGACGTATGCGGTGGTGCTCGGGTGTTAAGGCTCCTTAACCGAGTCTGTCACCGTAGATTTCGAATTACTTCCTTATTTATTAATGGATTGGAATAATTTATCATTTGTCATGTTTCTACAATAGTTATGAACCCGGGGCAAGAACAGAAAATGAAATTTGAAGAAAAATATTGCTTTATTTTTGAAAATAGTAAGATTGGCCCGGATGTAAAACAATAAAATAGAAACATTATTCCTGTAACACTTTTACGAAATATTAATAATAAACCCGTAATTAGTAATTTACGATTTTACATTAAATTTTAATATTTTGGAATATATTTTACTTCCCGGATCTCACGAGCGATGATTAGTTAAAGAAAAAAACGTGGGCTGGCTATGTGAATCTCCGGCGAGTGGTTTGTAACGTAAAAAAACCGCAGACATAGATAAAAAAACAAGTTTGTAGACATAGTTCTTGTCTACCGACTGCATACTATGAAAGGGGAGGAAGCTTACTTTTTCTGATATCGTGCTATAGAATGTTCTCATTATCGATTTGCGCCTAAATACGAACCAAAAGTGTATTTTTATATTATTATTTTCTATAAATACAGGGTGATTCTCAACCTATACTCATAAACTTGGAGATTTACTACTCACGACTAATAATGACTAATAGGCGAAAAAATTTGTAGTAAAAGATTTTTTGTTTCATAGATAACCGTGATATTAACTATCAAGAATACATAGAACATTTTAAAATAACATCACAGCAAGTGTTCGAAGTGATTTCCCATATTTTCTATCAATTGGCCTCCCGGAATCCACAATTTCCCATTAGCGCGGTCTAAACCAGGGTGTTGGCGAATTGTCTGGGCAGCAGCATGTAAATGATTTTGCAATATTGGCTCAGTATTAACTTCCGTTACGTACACTTTGCTTTTTAAGTGACCCGACAAGTAAAAATCAAGAGGGTTGAGGCTGGGCGATCACGGTAGCCAGGTCATTGGACCATCTCGACCTATTCATTTTCCAGGAAACACATTATTTAGATTTAGAGAAACTAAAAAACTTTTACTAATAATGAATAAATCCTCGAGTTTATGTGTATAGGTTGAGAATCACCCTGTATACTTTCAAGTAACACTAGGGAAGTGCCATACGGCGATTTTCTTGAAACTTGACATACAAGTAGGGTATGGAAAAATATTCGACACGTGTATTGTCATTTCTGCCCGATCGCCGTTTTAAGGGTAGAAATCACCCTTTCCGATTTTAGAGATATGTTCGATTATTTTACGAATTATTTTTACGATTGTTGAGAAATTATGTCACTAGGGGTTTTTCTTCTATTTTCTTCTGGTTTACTTCTGTTTCAAAAACTGCAATAACTTGTGTGTACTCTGCAATGATATTGCAATAATTAAATATGCTTGGTGTTTGACATCAATGTACATGCAGCACTTCTTTGCGGTAACAAACGGCAACCCTTCACATTACTGTCTGTACTAATTTTAAAGTATAGGTCAAAAAGCTCCCCGATTCCTGAGAGGCAAGCGGACTCACGTTCAAAAAGCACCCCAATGAGATGAGAACCCTATTACATCCACGTCGTTCATCTGGGGTAGCGCTAACAATAAAAAAGATTTGATTGTTACATGCATCACTACTTGTAGTAATTATCCTTATTTCTAACATTTTTAAAAATTTGTCGCAATTTTTAACAAGGGTGTACAATTTTTAAAAAACTGCGGTCGCCATTTTGAATTCTCGAAAACGGACATCAGATTCGTCACTAGCGACGCCAAAAACCCGTAGTGAAATGATTTCGCAACAATCGTAAAAATAATTCGTAAAATAATCGAACTTATCTTCAAAATCGGAAAGGGCGAATATTTTTCCATACACTGCTTGTATGCCAAGTTTCAAGAAAATCGCCGTATGACACTTCCCTAGTGTTACTTGTTAGAATTTGTAGAAAATATCTTAAGTCGAACCATGATTATTATTACCAAATTTAGGGACAACTTCATCCAGCAAAGAAAAAGAAATCTTATTTTTTGGTGTGGAGTCCTGTTAGAATGAATGTATCCAAAGTTAAAAATATTTTTCTATGACCACATGTTACCTGAACTAATAAAAAGTATATTATAAGTAACTGTTCTTTACTTTGTAACATATATCTACCTAAAAACCTAATTGTTAATGTCATGATAATTAAAGTTTGTTCTTATTAAAATTTCTAATAAGATAATTTATTATATTAAATTAAAACAGAAGGTTGCAAGCAACTATTTACTCATTTTGTGTTTCACCGATATTTAATTTATTATTTTTATTCAATATAAATTTAGTTTAATAAATTTTAGGTACCCACAGTTCTTAATTGTTTCAGGTTGTAAATACGTTATTCATAAATCTATTTATTCATTCCTTCATTGATAAAATGCATATTACCCAATAGGAAAACAGTGGGAATGTCTTGCCAGTACATGCTATCCTTTTTTGAACTTTCGTTTCTCTGTCGTCAAACATATTCTCATCGAGCGGTTAAGGAGCTTTAATGCAATCCGCTGTATACTTGCTTAAGTAACGCGATCACCCTTCCATTGCGCACAGAGTATGACAACAAACTGATCCCTCACACCATACTAAAAACGACCAGTATATCCCACCCACTTACTGAAGTGGGTGGGTAATACTTACTGAAGTGGGTGGGATATACTGGTCGGTATGGAGACTGCTCCATAGTGACGGAATATTCCATTTGGAAAAACTCGAAACTCGTCTACAGTAAACCTTTATGCTCCGCAAATATTATGGATTTATCTTCACGCGTTCAGATTATATAGGTGTGCTCGTGAATTATTTCCAACAGTGTAAATCGACAAGAATTTGCGGTTAATCTAACCCTGTATTGAAAGATTTATGAATTATTATTAATTTTTTGAATGGTACTTTGATTGAATCGTCCCAGAAAAAAAAAATAGGTTTCGTCTTTCAATATTCGCCAGCAATCTCTAAGTCCCCTTTTACTTTTATAGTGAAGCCAAAGACGCATCCGGTAAATTGAAACCGACCAGTGACTCGCAAAATCGCAACCTTTGGATAATGAACATCTCCCAAAACACGCGGGCCACCGAATTAAAACAAGCTCTTTCCGCTTACGGAAAGGTCGTCGGCGCAAAAGTGGTTATTAACGCACGTCATCAACGTCCAGGAGCATGTTGTTATGGTTACGTTAAAATGGAAAGCGTCGAAGATGCAAACAAATGCATCGAGAAATTAAACAACACCGAACTAAATGGGCAAATCATCAGAATCGAAAAAGTCCGCCCCGAACATCTCAACCCAAACTTGAATATCAATAAGAAATCGGACGCGACCAAACGACCAAAACACGATAATATTAAACATAACGAGCGCGATGAGGCCGACGATAAAAAACGTGCTGAAAAAAGTTCTGATAAACGACCTCCGAAACTCGAAGAAGGAGCTAAAGATAACTCAGAATATAAGTCATCTAAGGTAAAAAAAAATTTTTGCGCAGTAAAATTAATAACTCTTTGCGCATGCCAAGAACTTTGATCCAACGCATGCGCAATAACTCTTCTAGTATCTTTATTTTTAATTTTTTTTAAATAGGAATCATCTCATGGTGGTAGCATTGATCGACGTAGTAGAGAACGTTATAGACGTCGATCAAAATCACGCGAAGATCAAAAAACATCAATTCAGCGTCGTGAACGAGATGTTTTAACGTTCGATAAGATCAAAGATGAAAGAGACCGTGAGCGCGCCCGCGAGCGCGAACGTTTCATGCGCGAAGAAAAACGTCGCCGTGAAGAAGCAATGCGACAACGTGAAATCGAACGTCGTCAACGCAGCGAGGCGTTACGATTGGATCGTGAACGCGAGAAGTTGCGCATCGAACGCGATCGTCTTGAAAGGGAGCGTGCCGAATTAATGCAATTGGAGCGCGAAAGACAGAAATTAGAGCGGGAAAAGTTGGAGTTGGAAAAAATTGAGCTTGAACGCGTCAAGTTGCGTATACAGGAAGAGGAGCGTCGTAAACGACCTGCGCCGTATCCCCGGGATCGGTCTTACGATGATCGGAAAAGGGTTGCCACCTCTGATCGACATTTTGATGAACCTCCACCTCCACCCAGATTTGAACCTGCACCACGTGATAGAGAAGTTCGTGGTGAACCAAGAACTAGAGAACCTCCAAGTTCATCATCTACGCCGAAATATAATTCTCAGTAAGTTAATAAATCCATGAGCAACAACCGGAGACGACATTTCGATGTAGCAGGAATATTTGGGGGGTTATAAATTTTTATGTATTTCCCTACATTTTTTTTTTTGAATTATACTGGGTGTAATTGCGAAGTAATTTTTATTTCATTTTTTTAGGGTGCCAAAGGACTCGAGATACGGTGAACATGAAAGAGATAGAAGTCCTCATTTCCGGTCTGTGAGAGAGGAACGGCGTTCAATGAGCGATCATAAAAGTGAGATAAGATCCCGTGGCGAACATCGTTACGGCGATACTTCAAGTGGTAACCACTTTTTTTGGCATATACAATATTGAATAATTTTTTGTTTTTCTTTAGAATCCAATCGATTTGAACGACCAAGCGGAAGTAGCACTTGGACAACACATTCGACGCCATCAAAAGTCTTTTCGAGCAGTAGTTCGAGTACGACGCCAAAAGCTTGGAGTAAGGACGCGTGGCGACAGGCTGAATCATCATCAACCGGGGGAGGTGGAGGTGGCGGAACTAGCGGGGAGCGATGGAGTTCTTCAGGTACAGCTTCGCGAAGTTCTGCGCAAATTTCCGGATTTACAAATTCCTCGAATCTGGGCAGTATGGGGCCATCATGTCCACCACCGCCCGGAATTAATAATTACGTGAACGATCGATATGAATACAAAAGCGGCATGAGTAGCGGTTATATAAGAAAATGAATGGGGAAATTAAATTTTGATTTATTAATTAAATGTAGTATTAAGGACTTTTTCTTTATTTTGAATTGTAATTAATTGATCATAACATTACCAGTAGTTTTAAAATGTTTGGGCTATTAATTGAATTTTTTTTTCACATAATTTGTTTTGATGTTTTTTGCTGTACGCTAAGTTTTCTATTTAATTGAACCTAAATTGATGGTATATGACTATTTTTAAATAAATGACTTCATCATTAAAAAAATTTTTATTTATTAAGCAACCTTAATATGTCGCTTCTTGCATCCTAACTTCCATCCAAATCCCATTCGTCTCTAATAATTCCTCACTTTATCTCTCTTTGTCTTTCTGCAGCATCTTCGCCAGTACTCCATTTCCACTTTTGAGATGCAGAACTCCGAACATATGGAACCAGCAAGGCAACGCGAATCTTAACATCTGCCAACGACATAGATGAGGTTGACAAGGTTGAAAACGCAGGCGGAGAAGATGGACTTAAAGATTAACCACGGCCGTTTTCGAAGATATCGGCCGACCACAACCCACCCATCCGGCATTTTAGAGTTATGGGAAATCTGATGAGGGGTTAGCTTTCGGATGATATATTTTGTAACGGCTACAAAAAGTAAGCACGGCCGTTTTCGAAGACATCGGCCGATCAAAAATAGACCGGTAAAGAAACTAGTATTGAGCGAAACAAACGAAGGATTAAAAATGACACGAAACCCTTTCATTTCACAACGTCATACTTCTAAAATACAACAGGTAACGCAATTAACTAACAAAAAAAAACAAAAATTCCTGAACGTTTTAAACACACAAAATTATATCCTTGTCAAGAATTCAAATGTCCGATTTCTGGATTTAACTCGGAAGATTTAATTTTTAAAACAAAACACGGATTCATTGTAAAATCTGAAAACACAGAAGCTCAACTCAAGTAATCCTTTCAAATATGATGTAGGTCAAAATCAAAAAAAATTTTTTTGTTTTTGTTTATTTAATTTTTTGTTTGTAAATTAAGTTGAAAGAGATTTAGATCCATTCCTAAACCCCACCTACTAACATAATATTTTTCCATTATATTGTATAATATTCTAAGTACTGAAGATGAACAAATGCGTGAATGAAGGATGTTTTCCAAATGTACTAAAAATTGCAAAAATTCTACCAATACACAAAAAAGGTGATAGCAATCAATGTGACAATTTCAGACCGATATCTATATTACCACCTTTCTCAAAAATATTTGAGCAAATTATAGCAAATCGTTTGATTGACTACCTAGAAAAATTTAACCTATTAACAACTTGCCAACATGGATACAGACGGAAAAAATCGGTAACAACATCGATGATGAATGTCATAAATTTTATTACAGAAGCACTTGATAACAAAGAACTAGTGGAAATCAACTTATTAGATGTTACCAAGGCGTTTGATACTGTAAGCCACAACATACTTTTAGACAAGCTGGAATATTATGGCATAAGAGGAGTACAACTAGAACTCTTAAACTCATACCTCTCCGAACGCCAACAATACGTTCAATGGAAAGATAAAAATTCCAAGTTATTAAACATAAAACAAGGTGTGCCCCAAGGATCAATTTTAGGGCCCTTACTATTCATTATATATGTTAATGATTTGCCTGCCACGGTCAATGAAGAAATTGGCTTATATGCGGACGATACATCAATCATCGTAAAAAGTAAAGACAAGCGTGAACTAAAACAGAAGTCTATCAATGCAATGTACGAAGCGCAGTTATGGTTTGAAAGTAATAATCTGCAACTAAATCACAATTAAACAGAAAGCATAATATTCAGCACAAAAGCAGAAAATCGTGTCGGTAAGGCGAGGTTCCTCGGGTTACATCTCGATGGACGGCTGGGTTGGCACCATCATATTGAGGCCCTATCAAAGAAGTTATCAACAGCGGTTTTCACCATAAGACGTTTGAAAAGCATAGCTACACACCAAGCCGCCAAAATGTCGTATTTCAACCTCTTCTAGTCCGTGGCATCATACGGAATTCTATTCTGGGGATAGTCAACTGAGTTCCATAGAATATTTAAAATACAAAAGTCAGCAATTAGGGCTCTCTGTAATCTGCGACGGCGTGATAGCTGTAAGGAGTATTTCATTAGAGAAGAAGTACTTACCCTACCAAGTATATACATACATACGATGTTAATGTACGTGTACGATAATAGGAATACTTTCCAAACACTCGGCGAATCACATAGTTATGCAACTAGATCTTGCTATCAACTTGCTACACCATATCACCGACTCTCAAGAACACAACAATCGATGGACTATTGGGGTCCAAAATTTTTCAACATAGTTCCACCCTCCATTGCGGCAATGTCAAGAAATAAATTCAATATAATTATAAAAAAACACCTAATTGAAAGTGCATATTACACTTTTGAGGAATTTATTAGGGAGGCAGTGAATGAAATTGATAAGAATTAACATTGATAATAAATTTTTTTGTTTTTCTTGTTTGTGGACATTTTATTGTAAATTTGTTGTTACAGTAAATAAAGATATTTGTATTTGAAACAATAGTTTCGAAACATGTCTGCTTGAATTGAATTAAACATTTTAGTATTTCTCAAAACGTTTTTACTTTTACCTACATCATATTTTATTATATTAGAGAAATATGGAGAATTTCATCCCATTTGTAATCCTTTCAAACCTACGTCAAAAAAATGTTATTAGAGTCTTCAACATATCCACAAACAAGAGTTTTGCTTCCAAAAAAATTCCTTCGGCATCTTATTCAGCCGTTTTCTCATCGGTCGACTTAGAAATTCTTGGTCAGGATGTCAGTAACGTTTGTAATAGCGCTGGATTGACACACAGATTTTGTAAGAGAATATGTGTATACACACAGAGTACTGTATCAGTAATGAAGTCACTAATAACACTAGTTTACAAATTTTAATCAATTTTTTCCTCGAAGACTGCGATATTTTTTTTATAACGTAGAATGTTGTGCTGATTCTGAAACTGTCTTCATCAAAAATGTGTAACGGTTCATGTTCAGTATATTTTTTATTTTGCATAGTGTGCTTCTGTAGCTATGTGGACATAAAAGTAGACATTTTGAGGTATTGATAGCATAAATCGGACTCTCCGTTATTTTGCTACAGCCTAAAACAGCTCAACAAAATCAATCTCATTTTTTTATCACTTAATCGCACCGTAACGAAAAAGACTTATATATGAACAAAAAAGTTAACTATTCTATCCTGTAGAACATTTAAATCTCTAAATATCGAAGCATTAGACACCATGGTTGAACGTATTTTACCGGAGATATCGTTAATTTACGACAATCGTGCAAAATTTCATTTTTTGCCATTTTCACTATATTATTGAAACATTATTAAGAACAATTTTTTTTAATAAAGAGGTGTTTTAACTCTTCCAGGCACTAAGTATAAACATTAAATTCACTGAAATAAATAGTATTATTTTTTAAATACATTCAACAGACTAAGTTCAACAGAATAACATTCTTGGAAAAAGTTTTAAAAAACTCGGGCGTTTACTCGTAAGATTTTTTTTGGCAAAAGACATTCTCATTGTTAAAGAACAATCACTTTCTGTGAAAAAGTGTTTTTTTAATAAATCTACTTCTTTATATATTAAAACCTTGTTCTGCTACAGTCTTTTTTTGAAATATTTTTTGGTGTAAAAGGAGTATATACTGTCATAATATTTAGTGACACCTCAGTGATTTTTCGTTTAACCTTTAGAGGGCCGGGATTTTAGGTAACATATTGTCTGGAGAAAATCGATACAAAATGTACTTCGTATGATATATTTATCATATACAAAGTACTGATAACATAGACCACCACTTAAGTGGTGGTCCCGGTCCGCAAAGGTAAGAAAAAATTTTCAAGTTTTCAAATTTGAACACAAAGATTTCTAAAGGGTTTGGAGGTCCCTAAATAAGATGGAATTATCATTTTTTATTAATTATGACATTTTATACAGGGTGGCCCAATTAACTGGCAAAATACCAACGCAAATAAAAAATTTTTTTTACAGAATTCTTTACTTTTTTATCATAGATTCAGATTTTTCAATAAAAAATATAGCGTCCTATATAAAAAAATGGTCGTGACCTTCGTATGACTTTGAAAATAATGTCAATGTCAAAAAATAATACCATCGTTTTATTTCCACCTTCGTACAGAACAACTGTCATTTGAATCATTTTCATGTAAAATGTAAGATATAGGTAATAAACCTTTTTGTCTCATAGTTTGTATATAATATAATATTGTATTATGTAGAATGTTTCCTAATAATGCTCTTTTTTAGCGTTATTCTGAGCAAACGCCGTAATATTAGACTTATTTTTTGTATATTTTAATTTTTTTTGATTACCTGATTATAGTATATAAATGTGTTATGGCAATTTAGTTTTTGTATGATATATTTCGAAACATGGTGCGACACATAAACTTTTATGACATAAGTTACATTGGTACGCAGTTCGGCGCCTTTGTTTAGACATTGCGCATAATACACAATTACGTTGCAAAGATTTTTGTTGTGAGGTTTCATCTACAATTTTTGTGGGAAAATGGCGCCCCTGTAGTCGAAGATCGACGCCAGATGATGAAGGCGACGGTTCATTAGAATCTAATTTCAATAAATCCCTTACTATACATAAACGAAAGTTGGAAAAGGACGCTTTTTGCTTAGTTTTGATCATGAATAGTACATGCGCATTCATCAATATCAAATCAAGCAGATGGAAAAATAGTTTTCGGTACCACTTCATTGATTTTCTCACCGTCTCCGTCAAAGAGCTGTCTGTCGATATTGTCAATAGGCCCCATATTTTTATTGTAGTCATGAATACAACGTGGTTTTATAATGTCTTGCTAAGTTTTATAGTTTTTTTTACCAGTTGCACAAAATTCGACTTTATGAACTGTTGTTATGACAAAAACTTCTTTTTTATCCATCCATTTCAATACCATCCAGACGTCGGCGTGGGCAACTTCTACTTCACCACGGTTTAGCTTGGATTTCAAAACGGGCATTCCTTTTCGATTTTTTTTTACAGTTCCGCAAACCCCTGTATGCTGTGGTGATGAGTACCAGTTATCAATAAATAAAATATGACCCTTATTATGATATGGTTTCATGAAATGAGCTACGATATCCCCCGAAACTCCTAAGTTAAATTTATCATAATCTGTGTCTGAGCCAGTATACACAATAAAATCAAGGAAAAATCCGGTTTCACAGTCCACCAGTTCAAACAATTTGATACCAAAACGTTTTCTTTTGAGAGGTAAGTACTGCTTGAACTTTAGTGGTCCTTTCCACAAGAGTAAGCTTTCATCTATACAAAGATTTCTTCCTGCATTGATGGTATTAAAAAACTTATTTTTTAGATAGTCAATTACTGGTTTTACTTTTTTCAAAGGATGATTTATTACATCTTCATTATTAGCAAAATGAAGATATCGCAGAATTTGTAGATATCTATTTCGCGACATATAGTCCCCAAATATTGGAGTTAGCANTAATGTATATACAAATTTATATAGAAAATAAAAAATATATTTATGAAGAAAAGAAAGAAATAATGAATTTATACAGAAAATATATAAAATTATAAAAATAAAATTATATAATGTATATACAAATTTATATAGAAAATAAAAAATATATTTATGAAGAAAAGAAAGAAATAATGAATTTATACAGAAAATATATAAAATTATAAAAATAAAATTATATAATGTATATACAAATTTATATAGAAAATAAAAAATATATTTATGAAGAAAAGAAAGAAATAATGAATTTATACAGAAAATATATAAAATTATAAAAATAAAATTATATAATGTATATACAAATTTATATAGAAAATAAAAAATATATTTATGAAGAAAAGAAAGAAATAATGAATTTATACAGAAAATATATAAAATTATAAAAATAAAATTATATAATGTATATACAAATTTATATAGAAAATAAAAAATATATTTATGAAGAAAAGAAAGAAATAATTAATTTATACAGAAAATATATAAAATTATAAAAATAAAATTATATAATGTATATACAAATTTATATAGAAAATAAAAAATATATTTATGAAGAAAAGAAAGAAATAATTAATTTATACAGAAAATATATAAAATTATAAAAATAAAATTATATAATGTATATACAAATTTATATAGAAAATAAAAATATTTTTATCAAGAAAAGAAAAAATGTTGAAACCAGTTCAAAAATAAGAATAACACGTGAAATACAGGTCGAAGTCTGATAATATGGGTCGTGATAGCCGTGGGTATATGCCTTAGCCGAGTCCAAATAAACGTGCAGCGCAACGAGGTGAGGTTGCGCTCACTATAGAGATACACTTGCTAGCTAAGCTTATAAAATATTTTTACAAGTGTTCGAAGAAGTCTTTAGTTGCATATGCATATTATCAGCGTATAAAACTTGAATACAATTATTTGTTTTCCACCACCACTTAAGTGGTGGTCCCGGTCCTCTAAAGGTTAAGAAAATAGCAAAGTGTTGTAAAAGTTTTGTTGATAATGGCTAGCAGCAGAAGCTTTGAATGCAAGAACAATCCTGATTTGTTGTAATTACAACCGTTATAAAACAGGCATATTCTCATTATTTTGGGTTTGCTTCATATGTCCGAATTGCGGTATAACTTTCAATATATGGATGGCAGGTGAATCTACATCTCATTTACAGTTTGGTATTTTAATGTTATGGTCACAGATATCAGATCATTCCGATTGCTATTTCTCTAAAAACAGTCTTAAAGCAGCTTACTTCATAATGGAAACACACTACCAACTATTCTACTTGGTCATGCCGTTAATGTTATAGAAACATATATGCGCATATCAGAGGTTTTGACTCTAATTCAGTATAACGCATTTGAAATGAAAATTTGTGCAGATTTAAAGGTAATTACCGCAGCAAAGAAATTTAATAACTCCGAGAGTCTTCGAACTCATTTTTCTTGTAAACTAGTGTAATATTACAGACTTGGGGGTAACTTTTGATTCAAAACTAACATTCATAGACCATGCAACTAATCTGTGCGCGAAATGTTATCGAACTTATAGTTTTATATATCGCAATTATTTTTAATGCTCTGATTCGTTCGCGCCTTGAATACGCATCTTTGATTTGGCAACCTTTTTATGCTGTACATGTTAATTTATTAGAGCGCATTAAATTATTCTTCAAGTTTTTGTCTTACCGAATTGACAAAATATATCCCTCTAGAGGTATTGAATACAGTATATTACTGAACCGATTTGATGTAGCGTCACTCTCAACACGTAGTTAATGAACAATGTTGTTTCAACGCTCCCCAGTGTCGTTGATGTGTAGTTATTATAACCATTAACAATAAAATCATAAATCACTTCACAATTATTAATCGCTAATATACCTTTTCGCCTTGATTGCCATTCATTATTTTTACCGTTTTTCCATTTTGATGTATTCATATATCTTACAATTATTATCATTACTACATTTGTATTTTTTTTTCTTTTTGTATTTCTGTAATTGGGTAAAATCTTCTCCCCGAGTTTTTAATCAACAGGTTATTATGGGTTTTTACAACAACTACTAAGTAGATTACTACTACTAAATAGAATATATTTAAAAATTTTATTTTTTAATTTTATACGACACAATTGAAAACAAATTAAATTATTTATGGGTTAAAGTCGGGGTTTTTTCTCAAAATAACGAAACCTTCCATAATCGGCGTAAAACTAAGGTATTCCTCTGTGGCTAATTCGGCGCGTTCTCCATGAGCCAACAACACGGGGGTTGTATGCGTTTGAAAACCGGTGATTGTTTTGGGTTTCCCAGCTTGCCCAACCACATCGACAGCCTTAAAAAATAATTTAATTTAATTCATAAAAAATTAAATAAAATCTAACTCACCAATCCAACTCTAACTGGAACTGGTAACGGATTTAATTCTTCATCAAAAGTGACCAGCATTCTCGGCTGCATCGCAGCGGCTAAGGTATACAATAAGTAATGGGATTTACCTAAAATAACTATTAAAAAAAATATTTAAAAAAAATCTTAATTAACCAAACACGTGACTTACTATTTTTAACATCAAGAAACCCAACTAAGGTAGCTAATAACCCAGCAACAGCCACCGGGCTCATAAGTTGTCGATCACTATGATACGGGCTTAAAGTTAAAGTCCCCTTTCCTAAATGAGTTAATCCTTGGGCAATTCTTACCATAAAAAGATTATTAGGATCTTTAGCGTGAAATTGGGCTAATTGTCTTAACATGGCTGCTAATCGAGCGTTATTAGTCCCTGCGCCAACCAACCCCATGGCAAAAATGGCGTTATGCGCAACTTCGGCGTCACTATCATGCGAGAATTTGCTCAATGTATCTAGGATACTTAATTTTGGATTTGAAACCGAAATTAAACCTAACGCCAATGGGACGGCGCGGCGAATCGCGGGTTCGCAATATCTTAATAAATGTCCAAACGCTCTAAACGCCATTTCGCTACCGATGTCTTCGCCCATAGCGATTAAAGCGATTCCTAAAACGGCTACAGCTTGTCGACCTGAGAAATCCTTTTCTTTTTCATCTTTTTCTTTGTTTTTTTCTTTATTTTTCTCCGTCCGTTCTTCTTTATCTGTGGATTCGTAATGTTCTGAGCAAATGTGTAATAATTGTTGGACTTTTAAGACATTTCCGGTTCCGGCGTATGCGCACACTTCAACCATGGTAACGGCGGTCGATCGGAACGGCTCTGGGATTACTTCTAGGGCCGCTATAATTGCTTCGACAGATTCTTGTTTACCGAGATGACACAATCCTAAACCTAATGGTAAAAATCTTGCGTAGGTATCTTTTAAATCAGTTTCGGACTTTTCCATCAATGTTTGCATAATTGTTGCTGTTACATCAGCATTTCCGGATCCGACCGATATCATCCCACAAGCCAAAGCGGCCATTCCAATAACTTCCATTGTTGATTTTGAATCGGTAAATACTGGTGTTAATAACGTAAGTACTGCGTCGCGATTTGAACCAACGTAAGCCAAACCAAGCCCAACGATCGCTCCTAAACGCATCGTGCAAGTATTATGAAGAACATAATCGGATAATAAAGCTAAAGCTGGGTCGCATTCATTTCGAACTCCACAATTAACAATACCACAAGCTAATAAAGCACCAGATTTTATATAATCTTCTGATGAATACAAATATTTATCGATTGGTGTTAAACCACCATCGACATCCCAAAGCAAAATTAATCCAAGAGATGCGGTAGCACTTAACATTCCGTGTTCTTTATTTTTAAATAACCATTTGTTGCCGTCTTCCATTAAAAGTTTATCTTGACCAAAAGCGGCGTTTACGAAACCGTTAACAAAACTCGACGCTAAATTTTGTCGTGCAGAATCAATTTGACTCCCGCCGAATTGCGGTCGAGTATTTTCCAGATGTGTTTTATAAACATCTTCGGGAATTTTTGGTTCTAAAATATCCAATTCTCTTGCTAGATTTAAAAAGTGATTATTTAAATGGCAATTAGCCATGATTTCAATTAAGTCTTCGTATTCAGGCGTACTTTCGTTTATTTCGATGTAAATTTGTTGACGACCGAGCATAAAAGCCATTTGTTTTTGAATCGCCGTATCGGGGCAATTAACGAAACAATTTTCGATCAATTGGTGATCGTTTAACTGCATCGCTAGGCGTAAAGCTTGCGGGTGTTGATTAAATTTTTTGAAAAGAAGAAGTGCTATTTGCAACAACGTTGTATTTTCCGGATCTGCAACGTAAGCGACACAACTAGTTAGGTATAAACACACCCTTTGAAAAACGTTTTCATCAACGTAATGTTCCAATAAATCCAATCTCTCAATTTCCATCAATAAATCGCACGCCTCCGCTTCCGCATTATGCGCCATGTTGTAAGGAACGATCTCTTTAGCCAACAAAACCAATCGTTCTTTTAATTCTTGCTCAAATTCGGTGTCGCCGACAATTTCATTCCATTCAGCCGCAATTTCTCCAGCTAAATGACGCACATATTCGTGCCCCCACTCCCCGATTTTAGTTAAATCAGACATTAATCTGTATTGTAGGCATTCCCGCGACTCCCCCATAGTCATAGCCAAAACTGAAATTACATCGGCGCATTCGCGCTTTGTTTCGGTGTCCGTTAATTTGAGATAGACTTCTTTCATTGTTTGATAATGTGGCCGCATAAATTTTAACGGTTTTGGAACGGAGGTCATTGATGTTGTTGATGCTCTAATTTGACCAGCTAACGTTTTTAAAGCTGGGATGTACAAACGAGTATCGTTTTCCTAAAAAAAAAATTGAATTTTTTGTTTATATTGAAAATACCGGTTTCGATTTCTTAAAAAGTCATCATCAATAAATAGCACGCAATTTAAACTTAACATTAAATTTAACTTATCTTTTTGAATTTTGGGTTGGGTTGGCACAATTTTTTGGATTATTTAAAAATGTTTTTAATACTAAAAGTTTTTTTTCAATGCCATTAATTTTTGATTAATCTATGGGATATAATTTGCTGGTTCAACTACTTCATTCTATAAAAAGTAGACCATTCTCTTTGCGTGCTCGATTTATGTATTTACGCCTGAGATCATAAAATGTGTAGATTTTTAAATAATTTTTTTATTACTATAATATGTTATGATGAACATGGAGAAAATCATTGTAAACTTTGTTGTATTTATTTTGTGTTTTGTCCGTTTTCGAAGATATCGGCCGACCCCAACCTAACCATCAGGTATTTCAGAGTCATATAACATCTGATGGGTTATCTTTCGCGTGGTATATTTAGTAACAAATGGAAAAATGTCCTTAAACTTTAAAGAACTAGAAAGTCTGAAGAGTCAAAGGACCTATAACAAGTGATAGAAATAAGTATAAATCGTTTGCTATAAGGCTATTATTAATTGAATTGAACAGTGGTGAAACATTTTGTTTATTTATGGATATGCCACCACCAGTTTTTCAGTCTTTTTACGATACAGTTGTTGGCAGTATGTATTATATTAATGGTGGAACGGATATCCGGCAACTATCCGGTATCCGGCCAAAACGCAAACATGAGTTTTTCAACCGTTGTATCCTGACTATCAAGGCACAAATTATAAACAGCATCCCCGTAATTAAAAATGGATAACACCAAAGCATCACAAAGGTGAGATCGTATACGCTGATTCAGTAAGTGCTTGCTGCTATACAATAGTTTAAGTGTGGAGTACGCACGTTGAAGAATATGGGTTATATGTTTGCGGAAGATCATCAGTCACGTCCAAAAGGGTCGTTGTACAGCTATACCTTGAGTGAAAACTAGATTGGCGCGTCGGTAAAACATTAAAATTTTCAAGGTGCTCAAACAGCTGTCCTAAAATAAATTTTCCGAAGATTTTAGATAAGAAAGATAAAATACTGATAGGGTTAAGGTCCATGAGATGTAAAGGGTTAGCTAGTTTAGGCACTGGAGTAACAAGAGCTACCTTCCATACATCAGGGAATATCGAGGTTTCCAAACAATAATTAATTATATGACATATATATGGTAATATCGTTGGGCAACTAATACCATCATGACCTAAAGCATTACTTTTAATCGCCTGCAGCAAATCAAAGACCTCCGACTCGGATATATACGCAAAACTTAGTCGCTCTACCACAGATGGTAGAGTATGAGTCTCAAAGTAATTTATCATATCAGCATTACCCAACGATTCAACTTGAGTTGAAAGAAAATATTCATTTATAACATTGTCATTACCAAAACCATCAGGTATTGATCGCTGCTTCCAACTAATTATTCCCATATATCGCAATAATGTGGCAATATAGGGTATCACTTCAGAAATTATAACCATAATGGCCGGATAGATATGCCGGATAATCGAATATCCGGCCGAAGGGGATGCCGAATATGCGGTATACAGCTTTTCGCAAAATCACTATCCGTTGCATCACTATATTATGTACTGTTTCGAAAGCGATAGCCGAAACAATCATGAAAAAAATTGGGCATGAAGAAAAAAACTTGACGAGAAAAGTAACAAAACAAACTACAGGACTAATGGTTTCAAGAGATGGTATCTGGATGAAACGGGGCTTCCGCTCTTTGATTGGTTTTCATACAAAAAAAGTTATCGACGTTGTAATAAAGTCTAAGTACTGTCACGCCTGTGAATTACATAAAAACGACTGATGATATTTAATATAAATGTGGAGACAGGAACATGTAAATAATTGTGTCATGAATCACACATGGAAGTTGACGAGATACGTGAGATATTCCTTAGGTCGGAAAATATACACGGTACGAAGTACACTCCGAAGCTATCATTGATTCGAAACCGTATGGCGACCAACACATTGTAAAAAAAGAATGGATACGAGATTAGAACAGTTAGAAAAACACGCAAGGGACTTGGCGGTAGAGGCAAATCAACGAGCTGTGCAACTATTACGGGAAAGCCATTCGTGAGAATCCTGAACCCGTCGAAAAAATGCACAATGCCATATGGGCCACCATATATCATAAAAGTTCATAAGCATAAACAATCATTGCCGCAAGATGTTGTTAATGCAATCACTCCTATTAATAGGTATTTGAGCAAGCCGTTGTTGTTGAAGCATTACGCAAAACTGCTCTGATTTAGAAGTTTGCACCGAAAACTTTATCAAGTCGGGCTAGTATTGTGCAAATATCTACTTATTTGGCAGTTTGCGTTTTTAACAATGGAATGTCAACTTTATACTCTCGAGCATGAGCTGGTGGGAAGTATAACAAAGATACCAAACCAGAGAACCATATTCCAATTTTGTACGAGAAAGTACTATTAATGCGGCTACGTTGTTAAATTTTTTACATTGTCTGATGATAAAACTCAATGCACCAGAGGCTGACTTTACTATAGCGTTAACATGGTCTTTGAATTACAACTGGTCATCAAATAAGACACCCAGATCTCGAATAGCGCGTTCTCTGCGTATTGCTTCAACTCCCACACAATAATTAAACGTTATTGGGTTATTACACCTTGTGTGAGATACGACAACTCATTTTGCTATATTAAGATCAATTCTATTCTGTGCTGACCAGGAACTGATAATGTTCAGATTGCGCTGTAAAATAACACAGTCTTTAGATGTTATACGAGCGAATATCTTTAAGTCATCGGCGTAAGCAAGCACATTACAATCAAGTCGTCGTAATGGATCATTCAAATAAACATTGAATAGAGGGGACCCAGGTTGGAACCCTGTGGAACACCAACTGTGTTACCTCTGCTAAATTAGTCATAGTCGAACGACGAGTCATAAATCCGTGCTGGTGATCAGATATATATGGGCGAACACAGTAGCTCATTCTGGAGTATAGCAACATCTCAAAGACCTTTGAGCAATTGTTGAAAATGCTAATAGGTCGGTGATTTTCAATACTAAATCTGTCTCCCATTTTAAAAACCGGCATTTTCCGAGTTTTTTTTCCATACTGCAGGAAAAGTTTTAGTTTTTAAGCATAAATTAAATATAAATGTTAAAGGTCTGCTGAGCAAGGGTTTAATAATAAAACTTGGAAGACCGTCGTCGCCACCGGTAGAGGCATTCTTTAATCGTTTCATACAGATTTCTACCTCCTCGACATAAAATGGAGTAATGTAGAAGGATCTAGGACAATTGACTACAGTTATTGATAGTTGTAAGTCCAGGATTGAAGGCTTCAGAAAACAAGACAGAGAAGGCCTGCACTATTTCCAGGGAATCAGAAATCACGCAAATTACTATATTAACGTAACGCCAGAAACTTTTGGGATCGGTGAATATACTATTTGTAGTTGTTTAGATCTTTTCCACTTCTTAAAGTAGTGCTTCCAGTAAACCATAGAGGAAATTTCGACGGTGATAAGCAGTATTTGGGTACATGCTTTTCAATAACGTTATAGATGTTTTTCCACAGCAATATTAATATCCGAGCACATCAATATATCAGACCAGACAACACGAGCAATATCGAAGGTTGTTATTTGATGGAAACACTAGAACATCTTTAATATTCTGAGATTTAATCGAGATGTTCAGTGCAGGATGATTAAACTTTTCAGTAAGTGACGTCACGCTCTGCAGTTAAAGTTAGTAATTAGTAGTTGTATATTCAATCAAGCTGATACTAAGCGAATCAAGAAACAGTTCCAAATCATCCAGCGGAACATCAGGAGGTATGTATAGTGTAATAATAAATATGCTGATTGAGAAATAGACACATTTACCAACAACTACATCGATTAGCGGGGCAAGATTTATTATTTGATTTGCTGACTGCAGGCAATAAGAACGCCACCCCCACTCTTCTATCCACAAGACGGTGATTACGATCATTTCTAATTACATTAAATGTAGTAGGTAGCAACTCTGAGTTGGTGATGTCCGGAGGTAGCCATGTTTCGATAAGTAAAATTATGTCGAAGTCGGCGAGTTTTTGCTCGTAGTCCTTGCACATTTTGATAAAATAAACGACGTCATAGTCGTGTGTGGGTCCTGTTGAATCCTCTTCAATCAGATGATACAATTCTAAGTGAGCCATTCATAAATTTAACTCTTATGTTCACCTCGCCAGCGGCAATGCGGGTATCAAGCTATGTTTTGAGAGATTTGTAGGAAGAATTTTGTTTGTTGTTAGAACAATAGCTTTGAACTTATCAGATTTTAATAATGACTTAATGTTCCTAAGAACATTGTGGACTCCATCAGAGGAGGAAAACGAGATTTTTTTTCGGCGCTTACGATTTAATATCGACGGATCAAATTTACCCAATCGCTTTACAGTAAAATGAGGTGTCTGGATTTTCAAATAGTTAAGTCAACTTTACTACCATCCGGAAGCGCAGGCAAGTTGAATGCTACTAGATTATTCTTACGTTTTTCCCTGTCCAAAATCTCCACAGCCGGTCTGGCAGTGACGGTGGAGGCGGCAGAAGAACGTTCAGTTCTAAGGATTTCCAGATCCTTCTGCAGAGTTATAACAAGGCTTGTTAGTGCGTGTAACTCTTTTAGTTGTTGCTTAAGATCACATGTTGGACAATGAAAAGTCAATTTACGATTTTAGCAGCGGAGATTCGTTTCTTGATAGACACTGCATGAAGTATGAATAAAAGTACGACATAGGTCGCAAGAAATCTCAATTGTAGGGTTTATGGCACCTAAACATACACCATAATTAGTACTCATAATCACACAAAGTGGATTAAAGGAAATTACAAGGAAATAGGTAATGGTGAGAAAGAACAAAGGAAGAGAAAGAAAAAAAAAAGAATAAAACTTCAATATATATGAAGTTGTTACTGCCTATTTATTAATTTATAGGCTCAAAAACAAACAGCATTGATACTATAATGGTGTACTAGGTCCCCAGATAAGAAGAAAAAGTAACAGAAGCGCGTATTTACCAAGAAAAACCACATTAAAACGGAGCGCGACAGAAAGTTGTTATAAAATATACCATCCAAAAGCTAACCCATCAGATTTCAGCATGATGAAAAGGGCCATGATAAGAAACTTAAATTTTGATTGTTTTTAAGTTAACTTTCTAAAAAGAGACTTTACTGATAGCTAAGCTCATTAAATATTTTTCCAAACCAACCTAATCCAAAACCATTACAACATTTCTTATAATACAATAAGTTGTAAGTTAAATTAAATTTAAATTGTGTACTATTGTTTTGTATCCAGTTTAGATTAGTGCTTGGACCATTGAGCTGATGATGACTTATTAAGAGGTCGAAACCAGTAAATTATTTTTTAGTCAAAATTAAATATTAACCAATTAACTTACAACAAGCCGTTCGACGCATAGATTTAATTCCTCTTGAAGTAATTTGTCTTCCTCAGACTGCGTAAAAAAATTTTTTAAAACAATAAAATTTAATTGGAGGTTATGTTACTCACCAAATCGGCCTTTTCTTCCTCGACTTTTAGCTCATTCTTGGCCGTTTTTGCTGTTTCGGCACTCATTTTGCTTTGTTCTTACGTTGATTGTATATAGAATTAACAATGAGTTAATAAAGAAACGTATTTAAGTGAATTCGCCAATCATCCGATAAAAACTAATACCGCAGATAGGTTGTAGATGTCAAAATCAAGTATGTTATGCTTCGTCATTTGGGTGTCAATCGATCTAAAATGTATTTGAACCAATTTTTATTTAAACAATTTTATTCTTTTTAGATGTAATATCATTTCAAATTGAGTTGAATTTAATTTAAACAAATATTATTAAAAATCGATTTATTATAAAACAAAAATAACTTGCAAATTGGGTTGCCTATATAAATAATTTATTTTAAGTTACAAATTAAATCATAAAGAATGCGCTTCCATCCATCGTCTTTGTGGCATGGGAGATGATTCAAAAATATTTTCACAATTTAGAACTAACGGGTTAAAATCTGATTGATTTCTTCTAATGATGCTGTATCGTTTGCGCCGTTTGGTTCTAATTTGCTTCGATTTAATCTGGACGTTGCAGCCTAGTATTAACCCGACGAGGGTTCCGATTAAAAAAGGTGTTAAAATCGCTAAAATCGGCGATAATTCAACGATTCGTATCAAAAATCCTTTTCGTTCTTCCACAACAGTCGATTTTGTGCAATTATAAACGACGTTTTCGACCTCTTCTTCCAAGATCCAAGTGTTTTTTTCGACTGAGTCGGGTTCCATCATGATTCGTTGAAACTTTTCATTTTCAACTTTCTTTTTACACGGGTCTTTGTAAGATATGTTCGATTTTAATAAGTATTCTTTAAGAGCTTCGGTTGTTTTATCACAGTTTAATGGATTCCCTTGCAAAGATAGCATTTCTAGATTGTTTAAAGACGATAAAGTTACCGTGTTGAGTTGGATGAGAAAGTTGCCGTCTAAAGAAAGTTTTTTTAAATTAGGTAATTTCACGAAAGCGCCCTTCTTAATGTGAGAAATCCGAGAATTTGATAAATCTAATATTTCTAATGAAGCACTTTCTAAAATTGGGCCATCTCCTAATGATGCGAAATTATTGTTGTTTAAGTAAAGCTCTTCTAAAGCGGATAAATCATAGAACCACGCGATTAATAAATATTCCAACGAGTTGTAAGACAAATCGATGGTTTTTATGTCATTAATTCCTCTAAATCCGTTTAGGTGAATATGAGCCAATTTGTTGTGGGAGATATTAAAAATTTTCATTGATGTGAATCCCAAATCCTAAAAATAATTGTGTTATTATAAATAAAATGATTTAATAACCAAAATAGTTACAAATAATTCATGATCTCCAATTTGTGGGATATGATTATAAGAAACATCAAAAACTTGAACTCTTTGGGGAATCCCTCCAATGATGGTCACCAAATTTTTATTAGAACATTTCAATCGGCGCAATTTCTTAAAATCATCACAAACACAACCACCGGGACACTTTATTTTCGCAGTTATTTCAAGTATAAACATAAAACCCAGCAGCAATTTTAGATACATCCTTAATAAAACTTAGCCTTAGTAAAACAAAAATTTCCATTTTATTGATAAGATAAGATGTCCGTTGATCTAATCTAAACGTATGACTAATTGTAAGTATAAAATTTTTATTAACGGAATGTTGCATGTTTATTTACTTGGAGTTTACTCCTCCCGAGAGTCCAGTTCCACGGGACTATTAACGAGTAAAGTCTCGAAAGAGACGTTTCGAAAGCGGCATACAAATCGCATGAATACAAAATGCGAGATGGGCTCGTCGCAAGGTCTTTCATGGTCAAATCAGAATGCACGCCTACGTTGTCGCATACCAACGTGTAACGAAAAGAAAAAAGAAGTTGAGAGAAACGAAGTAACGTAAAAATATTTTTTTAAAATACTAATTTAAAATTTTGTAATAATAATTTAATAATAGTAATAAATTACCTATTTTTACTTAATAATTATCATGCAATACGAGTAAATATTGCCATCTAGAATGTACAAGCAAAAAAGTTTTTGTGCAATAATGATTTTATCAAACAATAGTTGGTGTATTTGTATCAAGATATTGATTAAACCATCTATGAGTAGACTTAGAGTTTCTTTATCTGAGGAAAATAATTCCTAAGCTTACATATAAAAAATATGTATTTTTAAAAAATTTATCTTAAAATATCTAAAATGATATATATGACAGGAAGTATGCTAGAAGCCTTATTAAAATTATTTATAGTAGTCCCAGGATGCTACAGTTTCTAATTCATGAGAAAATAATTCCTAAGGTTACAATTAAAAATTTCGTATTTTTCCAAATTTATCATTTTGCATCTTCGACAAATTTTTAAGAGTGCGGATAGACAAGGAATGTATTACAAGGCCCACTCGATTAATCTAGAGTAGTCCTAAAGTGCTGCAATCTCAGGTTCTGGAGAAAATAATTCGTAAGTTTATAATTAAAAAATATCAATTTTTGAAAATTCATCCTTTAGCATCTATGACAAATTTGGGAGTGTGCATAGACAGGGAGGATACTAGAAGTCTTATCCTAATTATTTATAGTAGTCCCAGGATGCTACAGTTTCTAATTCATGAGAAAATAATTCCTAAGGCTACAATTAAAAATTACGAATTTTTCTAAATTTATCATTTTGCATTTTCGACACATTTTTAAGAGTGCGGATAGACAAGGAATGTATTATAAGGCCCACTCGATTAATCTAGAGTAGTCCTAAAGTGCTGCAATCTCAGGTTCTGGAGAAAATAATTCGTAAGTTTATAATTAAAAAATATCAAT